TTGAAAAACATAACATGGTTCGGATAAATTCATTTAAAATATAACATGATCGCACGACAATAGCTATAACACGCATGCATGCCCATTTTAACAATTAATCTCGAATGAACATAATATTCTAGGTTAAAGCCGATGGAACTTACCTCTTGCTAAGCCTTCGGAGACTAACTCTCGAATTCACGTGCGATGCCTTCCGCGTGCGTTGCGTTGCGTTGCGTGCGCGTGTTGCGTGCTCGGTCCGTCGCGTGTGCTGCTGCTTCGCGTGCGTCTCGCGGCTCGCGTACGGTACTCGGTGGCTCGGACGTGCTCGCGGACTCTCGGCAAATGCCCACGAATAACACCCTCAACAAACACAAATCCTCACTTAACTCTCCCTCACACTCGGCAATAATACTAAGGCGGAAAAGAAAATGGGACAAAACTCTCCCAAGTCTCACTTAAAAAGAGGTCCGAAAGTATTGGGGAGGCACTTGGCCAAAGTCTCATGACACTTAGCACTAACATACAAAAGGCCATGCAAACACTCCAAAATTAGGATAAAATATTCGTGAGGAAACCGAGGTTATTGGCATAAGCATTCGGAGTTAACAAGGTGCATGGTTTATGGAGCAAAATGCACTAGCATACAAACCATCTCCCACGGCAATGGAGGACATATGGGACAAAACACACAATTCCCATGGCCACCTTACACATGCACGGCAAACAAGAAGCTTCGGCCACTCCGCCCGCTAGATGCCAAGAGAATTGCACGGACTCTTACACGCCCTCGGATACTCCGCCCCTTAGCAATTGCACGCCCTTTTCTACGGCTGGACGCGCGCACGGTCTCTCGAACACGCGCACGAACACTTGCACGAACACTCTCGGACGAACGCGCGCGCACGGCAATGCACCATGACTTAGGTCCGAGTAACGTACGGCTATGCACACGAACTCGGAATAAAATCCGAACCATTTGCTAATCTCGTGATTAAGTTAAATTAATCACTTAATTATGTTTAATTACTCAATTAAACATAATGCTAAATTACCAAAATTTATTTCGAACGTAAACGGTACGTCGAAAATATTTTCCGGTAATTTTGACTGAAATAACTGAAAATAATTAACTCCGAAAAAATAATATCGGAACTGAAATATTATTATACTGATAAAAGTTGGGATATTACACGCGGTATGCGACGGGTTAAAAATGGATGGTGGATACCAGCGGATGATTGTGAGAGGTTGAAGGGTTGGGACCCATGGCCCGAGCTAACGGAGACAAGCGGCAACGGCAAGGACGACAATGATCGGCTAATGGGCGAGTGGCGCGCATCGGCCCATGATGCGCGCGGTTTGACCGAACAGGCCATACACGGAGATGCGACACGCGATCAGGCCATGGGGGTTGACTGGGACGCGTTGGCTTTCGGCAGCACAAGTACGGGCGAACGACGAGAATACGAAGAGCGCGCATCGGGTGATGATGCGCGCGATTATGTGCCAGACGAAGAGTCGGGCGCGCAGGGGCGCGCGGGCGTTGGCACGGACGCGCGCGAAGAAGTCGGCAGGGACGGGGCGCGCGACAGGCGCGCGGGTATGGGCTACGCGGAAGAAGTCCTAAGCTGCGAAGGATTAGGCAACGCGGGCGATGCGCTGGCAGGAGCGGACGATCGAGTTCTAGCAGGCATAGGAGTGCTGAGAGGTGAAGGACACGCTCGCGGGACGGACGACACGAGCGAAGCGCGTGCAATGGCGTGCGCGTGTGAAGGGCGCGCGCGAAGCCTAACTGCCGAAGGACTAGGAGAGCACGAGGGGCGGCGCACGGATGACGCGTGCGACGCGTTGGACGGAAGGGAGTGAGGCGGCGGCGAGAGTTTGAACATGTGGGATTTTAGGGAGCATTCTAGAATTGCTTGGTGTGCAAGCCAAGCAATAGTTATTTGGTAGCTTTAGGATTTTATTGCTTTCTAGAGTCAGGATTTATTTTATTGCATCGAATAGGAGATCTAGATCTATTAGGCTTAGATTTATTTTGCACCTATAAATACCCATGTACCTCTTCATTAATAAACATGTTGAGTCTTGGAATTGATGAGTGAATCTCATAGGGGGAACTTGTAGTTCTTACATGTGTTTAAACAAGGCCGTTAGTGCGTGTTTACATACATTGTCGGAGAGAAGGCCGTTAGAGCATCTTGAAGTCACGGTATCTAGGAGAAGGTCGTAGTGCGTCTGTTAGATACACCTATCGTGGATAAACGAAGGCCCTGAGTGCGCCGTTTGTTCACACCCAACGTATAAATAACAACATCGATCAGCGGTCCTTCATCATTGGTGCTTTCATTGAGAGGTGTTGATCGTGTTTTTATTTATCCTATCTCTTTTTTTTTTTCGGTTTTGCCTTTTGCTGAGGGGGCCGAATTTTTGTTCTTTTTTGTTCAAAATTTTCGAAATTCTTTCGAATTTTTCAATTTTTTTTCGTGTCCTAAAAAAAAAAGTGTCATCTTGTTAGTCCTTTGTTATTTTTTCGGTTATTACCTTTTGTTGAGGGGTCGAATTTATTTTTGGTTCGAATATTTTTTCGAATTTTTTTAGAGTCTTAAAAAAAAAACAAAAATGTCTTACCCACCATTGGATGAGTTGGATTGGGAAGATCTGGAGATGTTGGAAGGTTTGGAAAGAGAGCTCACACCATGGGAGAAAACATATCTTGACGAGCTTCATGAGCGAAGAAACATTGAAGAGTACGAACGTCAACTCATAGAAGCCCGAGAAGCAATGGTGATCGATGCTCATGACCATGAAGATGAAAGTGAGCTTAATTTTCTAATCCTTGAGGACAAGGAAAGTCTCGAAGAGGAGGGGAATGATACGGAAGTGGTCATCAACCCAGGCGAGTCGGAGGATGAGGGTGGCGATGGTCTCGATATTTGGCTAGAAAATATTTTGGAGGAGCCATCTAGCCCGATATATCGGCCATCATGTGTACGAGATTGGCCAAAAGGTTGTGGCCCAAAGCTGAAGTCGAAGGTAAGGAAACGGACGGCCAAGAGGCAACGCAAGGCAAAGGCTCGAAAAGCAAGTCAATGTTGGTGTAAACCTTGTGCGAAGAAAAGACGAGGCCAAAGGAAGGAGGCTAAAAGGCGCGGTATGCGACGAGTTAAAAATGGATGGTGGATACCAGCGGATGATTGTGTGAGGTTGAAGGGTTGGGACCCATGGCCTGAGCCAACGGAGACAAGCGGCAACGGGAAGGACGACAATGATCGGCTAATGGGCGAGTGGCGCGCATCGGCCCATGATGCGCGCGGTTGGACCGAACAGGCCACACACGGAGACGCGACACGCGATCAAGCCATGGGGGTTGACTGGGATGCGTTGGCGTTCGGCAGCACAAGTACGGGCGCACGACGAGAATACAAAGAGCGCGCATCGGGTGATGATGTGCGCGATTATGTGCCAGACAAGGAGTCGGGCGCGCAGGGGCGCGCGGGCGTTG